GTTTTTTTTGCCTTTTTTAATTTTTTTTTTTTTTTTTTTTTTTAGTTACAGAAAAAATTAAAACAAAAAGCTCTCCCTCTTTTTTGATTTATCTTCCTAAACCAAATTTTTTGTACGTTTTATTTTAGATTTTTTTGTTATCATTTTCTTTTTATTTCTTTTATCTTTCCCATCTTTTGTTTTTTTCCCTTCTTCCCTTCCCTCCTGAATTCTCCCCCCTCCTAGAACCGTCTGCCCCCCCTCAAGACGTAAAATGCGTCAGCACCAGATCCACCGCCATTCTGGTAAGTTGGCGGCCCCCGCCGGCCGAGAGCCAAAACGGTGTCCTGGTTGGATACAGCATCCACTACCGAGCACTGGACTCTGAGGACACGGAGCTTAAGGAGGTGAACGATATCCCCCCAACCACGAATCAGATCCTCCTGGAGTCGCTGGAGAAGTGGACAGAATATCGCATTGCCGTGGTGGCGCACACGGAGGTGGGGCCGGGCCCGGAGAGCTCGCCTGTAATCGTCCGAACCGACGAAGATGGTAATTTCCCCTCCTTTCCGCTTCTTTTCAGCCCCCACCCCCATTTGAGACTCCCTTGCAAAGCAAGACCGTGGATTTGGTGACGGCAATGAATGGCGCACGCCTCCATGTCCCCGACCGCGGCGTGCACCCCCCTCCCCGAAGCGTGGGCCTGTTCTTAGTAGCGCACTTGCTGTTGCCATCAGCAGGTCTTGCGAGTCGGGGCCCCCGTGGTTTTCCTCCCCTGCAAATCCATGTCAGGTGCCCAAGTCTTGCCGAGGCTGCTGCCGCCCTGAGCGCCAGCCCCACCTGCCCTCGCACGTAGCAAAGAAGTGACACCCGAGTTCGCTGGCACAGGAAGGGATTGGGAGGGTTTCTTCCCCGTCAGCCCCTGCCATGGGTGTCTGTCTTAGATCAAGTGCTTGACATGGGAGAGGGATTTGTTAACACCCTTCAAACACTAGAAGAGGATAGAGACACAACCAAAGGGGACAGGATTAGGAGCAATGGCCTCCAGCTTCAGCAGGGGAAATTCAAGTTGGAGATTAGGAGGCACTTTCTGACAACAAGGGGGGTCGAGCCTTGGGACAGGCTGCCGAGAGAAATCGTGGAGTCTCCGTCCTTGGGAGTTTTCACGAGCAGGTTAGACGATGCTTGGCGGGGATGGGTTCGTCGGGGTGATCCTGCCCTGAGCAGGGGGCTAGACTAGATGACCTTGTGAGGTCCCTTCCAGCCCTACTTTCCTATGACCTTATGATATTCTTCATCCATCATGAAGAGGCAAAAAAGGGGCACATTTTTTTTTTGCCCCATTTTAGGTCACTTTTATGAGCTCTCTCATTTCCTTGCCCCCATGCAAGTACCTGCAAGTGGAGGTGGTATCTTGTTCAGAGAGATAGGGGCCAGAGGTGCCGCGCTGCTCTTGTACACTGTTTCCTCCAAACTCCCTTTCATCCCAGTCGTTTTCCAAGACAGCTCTTCCTATTTCATGAGCTGGGATCTTGCAAGTGCTCCCAGGCACCAGGTATGAACATCATCAGTGACCGACAAGATGGGATGCAATGCACCCTCAGCAAGTCTGCAGATGACTCCAAGCTGGGGGGAGTAGTAGATATGCTGGAGGGCAGGGCTAGGATTCAGAGTGACCTAGACAAATTGGAGGATTGGGCCAAAAGAAATCTCATATATATGAGATTTCTTATATGTACGCACACACATATACGTACATACATATATAAGTGGTGTTTCAGTTTCATTTTAATCACAGAAAAATGTGGGTTTGGGGTTCCTGAAAATCGGGGATTTTTTTTTTTATTGGAGAAAACCAGGATCCCTGGTGCTTCTTCCCCTCTGTTCAGCACCGGGGAGGCCACATCTGGAGTCCTGTGTCCAGTTTTGGGTCCCCGCTACAGGAAGGATGTGGAGAAATTGGAGAAAGTCCAGTGGAGGGTGACAAAAATGGTTCGGGCTGTGGAGCATGACTTGTGAGGAGAGGCTGAGGGACCTGGGCTGATTTAGTCTGCAGATGAGAAAACTGAGAAGGGATTGAATAGCAGCCTTCAGCTCCCTGGAGGGGGTTGCAAAGAGGATGGAGCTGGACTGTTCTCAGTGGAGGCAGATGACAGAAGGAGCAATGGGCTCAAGCTGCAGCAAGGAAAGTTGAGGTTAGATATTAAGAATAATTTTCTCACGAGGAGGGTGGTGAAGCACTGGAACAGGTTACCCATCCTTGGAGGTGTTTAAGACCCAGGTAGACAAAGCCTTGGCTGGGATGAGCTAGTTGGGGCTGGTCCTGCTTTGAGCAGGGGTTGGACCAGTTGTGACCTCCTGAGGTCCCGTCAGCCCTCATTTTCTACGGGTCTGTGATCTGCGCTTCAATGGCAAGGGCTTGACTAGAGCCAGACCCCTTGCATCAGGCGTCATCTTTAGCGTCTCTCACTCGTGTCCAAGGCTCTTCCGGCTCCTCAGAAATCAGATCTCTCCCAGGGCTTGACGCAGAGAGTTACAGGTCCCTTGATCAGGCCTTGTTGGGAAAGAGGCTTGTGAAAGGAAAATTGTGCATCGGTATGAAACGGTCCCACCATCCCGCATCCAGATCACTGAGCCATGCCCTGGGAACCTGCCAGGTCCACCTGAGCAGCAGCCGAGGGGAGGCCCAGGGCCACTGGGTCTATCCCCAACTCCCTGCCTACTTAGGGCTCTCGAGACACTCGCGCGGGTGGAGTAACCGAGCCCAGGTGCTAAATGTAACGCCTGCCCCCTCTCCTCTCCTTCCCTGCAGTGCCCAGTGCCCCACCTCGGAAAGTGGAGGTGGAGGTCCTGAACTCGACTGCCATCCAGGTGTTCTGGCGCTCGCCAGTCCAGAACCGCCAGCACGGCCAGATCCGCGGCTATCAGGTCCACTACGTACGCATGGAGAACGGGGAGGCCAAGGGCTTGCCCCAGATCAAGGACGTCATGCTGGCGGATGCCCAGGTGAGGACTTGCTTCCCCTTGGCTTTCTCGGGGGGCTGGAGGGGTAGGGTGTTCTGGCCACTTGTGCAGGGTGTAGCCCCCAGGGACGCGAAGCGCTGATAGCAAACAGTGCAGCATCTCCAGGGCCCAGCGTCATCCATGGCTGTCCTGCAGTTATTTGAAGCTCCCACTCGAGCTGTTGAGGAGGAGCTTGGGCTGCTCTCCCAGCACCAAACTGCGTAGTCTCTGTCCTTCCTGTTCCCGGGAAGGCCAGCGCTGGGGGCTGCCCCTATAAGTCAAGCAGCGGTCACTATGGACTCTACTAACCTGTCCCTTTCTACTTCTTCCTTCATGTCGGCCCAGGTCACCTCTGACCTCCAGTAGTTACTTGCCCGGGGACTCCTTCCTCATGCTGTCTCTGTCTTTTCCTCCTTCTCCCTTTTGTGTTCTCACTTGCAAATCCTCTCTTGTTCTCTGCTCAGTGGGAAACGGATGACACCGCTGAATACGTAAGTACTGTGCTCCTGCCCTGGTCCCAGTGCTGTCCCCTCCCTGCCCCACTTCATTTGTGGCGTGACGTTTTCCTTTCCTTTATTTTTGCAGTGCCAGCTTGTCTATTGTAAAGCCTCTAATGGTGTTTCTGTGCATCGTGCCCACCCAGTGCGCTTCTCTCTGCCTTCCCGAGTGCTCCTCCGCTCCGCCGGCACATGGCAGGGTTCCCCCCGGGCTCTTAGGCAAAGGCCGAGGCAGCTGCCTCTCAATCTGGGCGCTGGTTTGGGACCAAACAAACTTAACCGTAGGTTAAAGATGGGCTGGCAGGAGCGAGGTTTGCAAATGCATCAGGGCCTGGTGGACGGCTGAAAAACGTGGCGGAGCTAGGGATTAATGAGTGTTCAAAGCCCTATTGCTTCTGAACCATCAGGGCTTGAACCAATGCGCTTGCCCTTTGGAAAGCCCAGGTCCTCGGCTCTTTGATGGTAGAAAGCACCTGCATTTAGCCCTCGTGCCTCCGGAGGGGTTGGACCTTACAGCCAACACTGTCATTCTGATGAGCTTTTCCTACTTCTGTTTGAATGCTGGCATGTTGCTACAAAGCCACTGGGTAAAGGCCAGCGGGCAGGTCCCAAAACATCCATTGCTAAAACACGCCTTCCTTTTCCACTGAAGTCCAAGTGCCTATAAAGGCAAGTGAGCATCGTGACTCCCATTTTACAGGTGCGGACACTGAGGCACGGGAGCAGGGAGGTACCTTGTGCCCTGCTCCTGAAGCTCTAGAAAATAGAGCCAAGGTTTCCTGGCCCCGGGTCTAGCGGCCTGAGCTCTGGGCCGCGTTGCCTCCTGATCCGCTCACCAGGACGGTGGTGTTTGTAAGGTCCACCCGCTCGCTGTCCAGGCCGGTGCAGGTGTTCTCAGGACCTGGTGCACTTCTGGAGCCTCAACTTTGGGGAGGGCAGGGAAGGAGATCAATCGAAGACGTGCAAGATGCCCTTCTCCCTTCCCCCGGAGCTCTGGGGGGAACCCTGCCGCCCGTGCCCCCATCCTGTCTGAGTTATTGTGGGTTGTCTTGTTATAACGCAGCCCTTTCAGAGGGCAGCATTGCAAACGGACCGTTCGGGACGCCTGCCTCATAACGAAAGCTCGCGGGAGCCAGGTGTTGCGAGCGCAATAGAGAACGGGAGGTCTGTGTTTGGAGTTTAACCCAGAGCCTTAGCATGCAGGCAGCAAATGTCGCCTCGCAGCTGGCATTCGAGTGATCCCTTTAATATTACGAAGGCATTTAAAAAAACAAAAAAAAAATCTCTTAGGAGAGAGGGGAGAAAAAAAGTTTAATCTCCTTGAAGCCACTGAGCCATCCTCTGAGACGGCGCGGGGGAGAGGGAGGCTTTGAAGCGCGCAGCCGTGTTTTGATGGCTGAAGCAGCTTGTGTTGAGATAGGGGATGTGTTTGAGGTGGGTTTGAGAGACGGCGTGTTTTCATCCGGGTCCCTGTGGACGAGGGGTGTTCGCAGCTGGGGGGTGCCCGTTCCCCCACCTCCGTGTTTTCCTACGACTGCCTTGTGTTTGCAGCTTTGGTGAGCGCTCCTGCATGCTAGAAAGGGCCGAGGCTCCCGCAAGAGAAAGAGGTTGTTAAAACCCTCCTTTCTTTGGGATCTTCCAAACAGGACATGATCATTGCTGGGCTCCAGCCCGAGACTGCCTACTCCATTACGGTGGCTGCCTACACCATGAAGGGGGATGGCGCTCGCAGCAAACCCAAACTGGCTATGACCAAAGGCGCAGGTAAGAGTCTCGCCACCCGTCTTTGCATTTTTCTCGCACTTCCCAAGGCCCTAAGTCGAACCAAATCCTCCTTTCTCTCATTGCAACTGAAATGCCTGGCTGGAAGGGAACCTCGTGCCTCAGTCCAGCAGGGAGCCCTTAGCTCTTTACCCCTGCCTCATCCTCCTTCCCCTTGCACCAATACAGCAGAGGTCTTCTGGTTGCCCCTACAGAGAGCATGCCCCCTCCACACCAAGGGCAGCCGCCGGGTGGTGGTGATGCTGGGAGTAAGCGGCTCCTTAGCCCTGTTGGGCTTTCCTGGAGCTCAGGCGCGCTCCTCCCGCAGGGCCCTCGCCAAGCTGGCCCCCTCGATTGCAGAAGCTAAGGCCGGGAACTTCTCGGGCCAACTGTGTTCAGACAGCTGACAAGGGAAAACCGAGCTGGGATGCCGTAGCATGGCGGCAGGGCGAGTTGCAGAGCCAGGAAGGGGAATGCACATCTGTGCCATGGGCAGGATGTCATGGCTCCGAATCCGTCCCGGGGAGCGTCGTGTTCACGGGGGCTCAGCGCACGGGGCAGGGCAAGTGGTTCCCGGAGCCGCGAGGATCAAGTCTCACCTCCCTCCCCCAAGTGTTTCCTGCACCTGCCCGACCAGCCCCGCGGTGCCCGCAGCCTGCCCCGTCCAAGGGAAAAGCACTCCCGCCAGGATGCTCGGCGCGGTCCTGCGGGGGAGCAGCTGCTGGGCCCCGCGGCCAAGCGGAGCATGCAACGAAGGGAGTTTGCTGGAAGAGCCGGGAGGGTTTGCCATGACGGTTTGTTCCCTTAAGTACCGGGACCGTCTCCAACTGGGCAGGAAAGGCAAAGAGGAGAGGGAACAGCTTGAAATCCAAGTAGACTTGCAAACAGCCAAGCCGGGGAAGGGAGCGCGGTGACAGCTGAAGCCGCCCACTCTCCCGTCCCCGTGGGGTTGCATCTGATGGCTGTACCCTGGCTCAGGACTCGGTACAGAGGGGAAGTACAGACAGCGTTGACCTTTTGCTAGACAAGTCTCCAGGACCTGGGCTCTGCCTGCCCTTCCAAACCTCCCCAGCCGGCTCTTTCCTTCCCTTTGCCTTAGTGTTTGTGGCAGAGCAGCTGCCAGCCTGTGCATAAAAGAAACGGGGTCGCAAGAGGATGCGGGGACCAAGTGGAGGAAAGGCAACATCTCTGTTCCCCAAACTGGTGCTTCTGCTGCCCCCCCTCAGCGCCCACCGTGTGCCTTTGCCCCCTGGCTCCCTGCGGGGGGGCCAGGGCCATGCCCAGACATGGGACAGACGGTCTAGGACCTCCTTTCCCTGACTCATCTCAAGACACCTCCACTGAATCGCATTTACCTGCCTCTCCCCTTCCGCTGATGCTTTCGGGCAGCTGCTTTCCCCCCTTCTCAGTTCCTTTCTCTGTTCCTCTTCTTGCCTTTCATTTCCCCCTTGCTCCTCCGCCCCCAGCAGCTGAGTACATTGACAGCAGCCGCCCCGGGAAGTGTTATGAGCTCCCGCTGCTGGGATCAAAGGCCCTTGGTCAATATGGCATAATTAACCTGGACATCCCCCTAGGCCCCCAAGCCAACGTGGAGCCACAGCTGAACGAGCAGCACAGCCAGGAATCGAGTGCTGGCCCGGATGGGAAGCAGCAGGCGTAGGCTTTGTGGCTCGCACCCTTATCCCTTCCCCGGCACCTGGCCTCCAAAAGTCACGGGCTTTCACTGGCTCCCTTTCATCTGGGCTTTCCTGCCCAGTCGGAGGCAATCCTGGGCCTTGCAGGAACAACCCCTCGGTGACACCTCTCCAGACATGGACCGCAAGCTTCATGCAGATCTGCTCCCTGGTCCTTGCCGTGTCCCTTCAGTTTAGCCTGGCCGTCCCAGCGTTGTCCCTTCCCTTCATCCTCCCACCCGCCCCGCTTCTCTCCCTTATTTTCTCCTTTCTTAGTCTCTTCTTCTCTCCCATAGCCTTTCCCCACTTCGTCCCTCTCTCTTCCCCTGCTGTCCCCATCTCTCCCTTTTGAATCTGCAGTACAGGTGCATCAATCATGGAGGGGACACGTTCTCCAGCAGAGCAGCTATTACCCAAAACTCAATTTCCCCCAACTCGAAATAGCTATTTTTTTTTCAGGTCTTTCAAATGGCTCTGTAACGTCCTTATCTCCTTCCACTCTTGAGTCAATATACCTTCCGAGAGGAGAGATTTCTTTCTTTATCGTTCAGGGCTAGGGGCTGAATTTAAATACTGTAATACATCCCGTTTTCTTCTTTAATGTCCAAACCAAGTGCAAAATAAAACACTTCCCCCTCCA